AGTGTGCAAAGGTTCCGCATTCAATAGGTCTTCATACATGCATGAATTCGAGAATATTCCGTTGGGTAGTTGCAATTTATAGTTTACATATTAGTCCTTGCGAAATATTATTTATAATTTTCCGTTTGCATTCTATATGGTATCACATATGTTGAATCTTATAGAAATTGCTTGATGTAAACCCTAATGAAAGCACTAGGATTTATACAAATATCATGCAAATATGAATAGAAAGAATTTAGATATTACATGCAAATAAATGAGTGTATTTCAATTGGACTGTAGTTTTGTACACTCGTTAAAAAGCGTGATTTAATCAGCAATAATTTAATTGTAATAAATTTAAGATTTAAGTTATTTATGATATGGCTGCTTTCTATTCGCATGTTTTTCTCGTTTATGGTGGAATGACTGGGTGTGATTTGTACATTTTTAAAGAAACCGAAAGTTATTAATGGTCGCGAGGCGACAAAATAATTGTCAGCATTAGAATTTGAAGGAGAGGATGGAAAAATGTCCGAGAAAACATGGCGATCGTAAATTAAAAATTACAAGGTTTAGAAGTAAGATAATTAATGATCGCGAGATGGAAAAGAGGCGAGGATGACAACGTTCGAGGCTGCGAGTACAAGTTGATACAAAAAAATAATAATAATGATGATGATGAAATAAAAGAACTCTTTTTGTTTGGTTCGCAAAGAGCGGATGAACAATGATGTTGTTTTGTGATTTACAGGCTGGATAATTCCGGTGCGTTTCATTCCCGAGCCGGATTGATTTCGTTTATGTGAAAAGTCGGCGTTCGTGCAGCAGAGAAAACCGCGGAGCGAGGTGATATTTCCGGAATGGTTTCGTAATTACCTGAGCGGTTCTATCGCACTTAGTTACCTATTGTTCCCAGATCGGAACTAATTTCAAGAATGACTGCCGGAGAATTAGAATCGGTAATTTGCGTTTTTGAGAACAGAGATTCATTTGGAACAAAACCTATGACTAGGATTGTGATAAACGAGTAATCCTAATCCTAAGTAATTATAATCATAAATAGTCCTAGTACTAAGTTGCTGGTTCCGAAGGTTCGAAATCTGAGGTACAGTAACAGTTTCAGGGAATTCCAATTAGAGCTGGTTGTTGCGAATATTAATTAATATCCATACAAGTCGGTGAGGAGATGGAGGCGGTGAAGAAATATTCCCAAGTCCCAAAGTTGCACTCAAACTGGTGTCTGTACACGTGTATTGTAAACAGTTATTTAGGAATGGTGCATAAGTCCTGTAAATCTTCGCGCGTAGAACTCTTTCGGAATATTTATACCGAGTCATAAATAAATATTCAAAAAAGAAAGTTGGATGTTTATGACCGTATAGTTCTTTCAAGTGAAGCCATATACATATATATATATATCTTTTCATTCCCTCTTTTGACTTACGTGTTTACCTTTAGTGCAAATGCTGTCCGTTACGTTTTCGGCATATTAACCCTATACGAGTTATACAACATACATTTGCATCAAAACTTATTTTTTGTAATAATAATTATTATTATTATATTTATTGCAACAACCATAATACAGTAAAATCTTTTTTTGTGCGGTAAAAAAATATTCGAAATTTTCATAAATTCTTACTAAAACACTTAGAAAATACGTCAAAGGTTTACGAAATACATGAGAAAGTGCATCCAAACAAAATATATAATTAAATTACACATGGAAACATTTTAAAAACATTTCTCATTGTTCATATGGAGAAATGTTCAAAATGCAAATGTAAATACAAAACGCGCATCTTCTTGTAATAATGTAACATAAGAAAACATAAGAAGTAACATAAGAAAAATAAAACTAAATTGAATTGTTGTAAAGGGCTACTGACTTATTAAAGATTACATAATTGTAAACTTCATAAAATTTGTATAAAATTTTAATAAAAGTATCTAATCACCAAATAAAAAATACTATTGTAATTTATGAATTCATATACTTTTATAAACAATTTAATTTATATATATATATACAATGAAACCTCGCTTAACGAGAAAAATGAATTGTAAGAAACGACGTTTCGCATAACGAGTGACGATGAGAAGAGAAGTCTCGAATTGCGCGCCTGCTACATCATTTTTAAACTTGTGTATTATGTATTTTTCAATAAGTTTGACAATATGAAATTTTGGAACGGATTAAACTCGTTATGCAAGGTTCCATATAACAAACATTTTTTAATATAATTATTTTTGCTAGACTATACGGCAAAGCTCAAATCTAATTTGTAGAAGATTTATTGCATAATTGTAACGATTCGAATTAACATAAAATAAAGAGAACGTCCCACGCGCATTTTCATCGCATGCTAACTAGTTTTTGAACGGCGCATTTAACATTAACTTGATTATGCCTTATACGAAATACAAGTAGCTATAATCCGGGTAGCCACAATACTCTGTCGGCGTCGCTAAACTATGTCAACTTTTGCAGAACACGAATTCCACGTTAGGTGGGTCGATCTTTTGTGGTGTTAATGATATTTTTCGATTTTATTGCGCGAACGTATAAAATGCAATTTAAGAACTGGTCCAATCGACGCTCGAAACGGCATGCAGATTTCGTTTTCACTTTTTATTTCTTTATTATTTATTGCTTTTCTGACGGTCCCTGTTTTATTTACGTTTCCAACATCTCTCTCTCTCTCTCTCCCTCTTCATATTTTATTTACTTTTTTTTTACATCTCTCTTTATTATTTCAGTCCTGTTGTGGGGGTCCAGAAGATATCCGAGAAATATGCGTTGGACGTTTGGAGCCAATAAAATGTTTTGTGCATCGCGACGATAAGTCCACGTTTTATTGTACCCTCTTCCAGCCGGGGCTACGACCGCAATGGAGGAAGGACCACGGGTCTATTGTAAATTTCCGAGAGCAATAATTACCGGCCGCCTGTTAAATAACCATTACTGTCCCGACTATTTCGGATGCCAAGCTTCTAGCCTCGTCCTTCCCCGGAACAGAAGCGCGTATAATCCTTCGAGTTATGGCATTTGCATTCTCATAACTGAAAACAATTTACTAAGCAGCAAATGAGGAGGAGGAGAACTGAATCTCTTAAAAAAAAAAGAAAATAAAATACTGTGCAGGTTTCCTTATTTAACCAGATTCCAGAATGCCGGAAATAGGAGTCCTTCATCCAATATCTGGAATTAGTTTCGTCTTTTCCGCATCTTCTTGGCAATTCTCCTTTCCAGGATTCAAGCCGATTACTATATATATTTATCTATCTACAAAATTGGTGAGCATTAATAATAATTTCATGCATTAGTCCGAGCAATAAATTCCTCATCATCCACAAAGACTTCTATTAAATCTGCATATTACCTAATATTTATTATCAAGAGTGCTGCTAAATGTTACACACGTGAACTTTGTTGCCGGCTAAATTATACTGTGTATCGTAAATTTCATCGCACACATACGCGATTATTCCTAAATTGCAAACCGACTACCAGTGACTTGAAAAAAAAATATGAATATTACCAGCCATCTGCAGTTTACGGCCTCCCTTCGTCGGCTGCAGCCGAGGAAGGTCAGAATCGATGTGCATTACTTGGATATATTTGAAAATCCGCCAAATGTTCTTTACTAGCTATGCGAATTATTCCTAAGAATTTGACAGATATCTCTTACTTAATGTAAAGCTTAAATAAATTGTTATATCCAAAATCTAAATGTTTTATATTATTTGATCGTAGTAACAAATTTGCATCGGATGAGTGTAATTTGAAACAAAGCTTTTTTTAATGAGTACATAGCATAATCAATTTCCTATAGATGTGCATTTGCGAATATCCAGTTCGTTTATTGGGGACACGATTAAATATGAAACACGAAGCCAAAGAAAATAAAAATAATAACCCAGTTCGTTTGGGAATTTGTATTTCCGACAAAAATTATTCGATTCGACGTCGAATTGGGTTTTTGGAAGATAATGGAGATGCGCAGTTGAGCCCTCCCCAGTTTATTAAAAACTGATTGCATTTCCATATGCAAAACTTGCTGGACCTCATCTGTTTTACACGCAAACACAAATATATTACTGTCCCGGTCATTTATATCGAATCTGCTCATCCTGGAAAACAGAAAAAAATATTATGACTCCCTCTACGTGTGTGTGTGTGTGTATGTCTGCATATTTCTCTTTCTATATACATTTTTCGCTCTTCCTCGCGTTGTTTTCATCGGTTTTGTTTTCGCAAAGAAACCGGACGGTGACACATACGCTCCATCAATCAGAAGACAAATAAATTCGGTGTGAATTCCCGCGTCTTAAATTTCACACCTTTTACCTGTCTTTTAACAAGAATAACCGCAGGTCGGACCAAGCAAATGCACGGACCGAGAACCACCGGAAACTGATGCTGTTCCATTTGCATCGCCTTTATTCGCTTTTAATTAGTTTAAATAAATGCAATTGATAATTCATTTTAATGTTCAAATGTTAGTTTTCATTTGAAATATTCAATTCTAATTTTATGCGCGTTTTCTGCAGGCAGCGGCGGCGCCATCAGGCGATTGCTAACTGCTGCAGAGTCCTGTTACTGCAAGCTACCATTAGAGCTCCCTGTAATTCACTTAAAAAAAATCATTTTATGAACATCACATTTAGTTCGAATAGAAAATTAATAAAAAGACTCGAAAAGCATACATTTATTATTATTAATGTACTAATAAGCTGTAAAAGTAGTTTTACTTAATTACTCGAAAACTAATTAGATGGATTAGGTGGATAATAAAGAACAAAAACTAGAATATGTATTCGCGCGTTATTTCCTGTAAAGTAGTAGATAATACCGTTGAAACCTGTCACAATAATATGCACAAGAATTGTGATCAATCAATGTCTCACGTTTTAATTTGTCCTTGTATAGCCTATAGCCATAATCAAGAAATTCCTGGGAATTGCATTGCAAAAGAAAAGTAATTAGAAAAAAAATATATAAACGACTAATATTACGTTAATTATTTATTAAACTTCTTTTATTATTATTGCGTTAATTAGATACATAATGTTCCTAGTCTAAAATCGTGGATCAAATATCAGTACATCAAAGGATCAATATATATATATTTTTCTCAGTTACAATCTACATCACTTTTTAGTTTCTTTCGATAGGATTCTCTTGTTAAAAATTGGTTAATTCACTAGTTGTTTACAGGTAAAAAGAAACAATCTATGGCAGAAAAGCTTCTGAGGCGAAAATCACTATTGGTTCTTTGTCTTTTTTTTTGTGTGTGTAGATTTGTTATGAATCATTGTATAAATAATTTTTGTTTCATTTTTTTTTGTTATCAGTCGAAGAGGCCAGTTTCATAATTTCCTTCCAATATAACAATTACAAACATGTAAAACCTCTAAATCTACATCTACACATATATCAACAGTTCTATTGGAATCTAATTCATTCAAAATTATTTCCTTCCATATATATTTTTTTTTTTCAACTTCTTATATTTTTTTGCTTTCTTCCATCTTTTGTCCTCATACGTGGTAATACATAAAGTAAATGCAATTATTTTGGAAATGATGCAGAGGGGAAGAATAGGAAGCACAGAGAAATTTTAGACTTAAGAGAAGTTGCTAAAGTCCGTTTTAAGTTTGATTGATGGGGTTTGCGCGGAGGTTGGCTTGTTATTGCACATCTCCATTTTGATTTTCTGCTGTGTCTGCTGATTCGAGCGCACAGCGTTCTCCAGACGAACCCTCAGATCTGGAGCCTGGCTCATCAATTTCTTGAATTCCTGTTGAAAACGTAATAAAAGGGTTGTAATACTCTCCAATCACTTGATTATTAAAGTTATACCTCTGGATATTTCGGTCCTATTTTCATGAGCCACTGGAGACTAACCTCGTGCAGCTTCATGGAATACTTGTTGGAGGATCGGAATGCCTGTCCTTCCAGTAAATAACTTATGAGTATAGGAACCAGCAGTGTCAGCATTTGAATGCCTGCAGAAAATACAAAATAATTAATGAGTAAAAATAATTAGAAAAGGTATTTCTTTAATTTTGCCAACCAAGATTTACCTTGCAAGATGTCTCCTATAGTCAGCAATAAAAGTCCAATAAATGTAATTATGCACGTTATGAATAAAAAAAGGGATTGCTACTTACGGTTTTGTGGTTCGGCTAAACCTATTAAAGCCTCAACGGTTACTATGGCTTCTAAAGTAACGGACAATTCTCCATCCGAGAAGATTTGTCGCGCGCTATCCGCGTATAAGAACTCAACCAATCTCGGTGCCAATGCGTGGATGTACGGTGTGGCAACAGATCTATCAGAATGTGAGAATATCGATTTCAACGTCTGCACGCACTTCAGTCGCACCTAAAACAGTAAACCATAGAACGGGTTCTTGTGGCTCTTTATTATTAATATCTTACAGTCGAATTTGCACTTTGAAAGCACTGCCTGAAATGGTTTATACACGGATATTGAAGATTCGGAGCTGATACCACGCTCGTGGGAGCGTGTAAAACGAACACGGCTATGGCCAACATCATCGTCACTTCATCCAACTTAGTTTCCTCGCTTCCCGTTTTAGCCAGATCGATTATTTTCGCCAGAGCGCTCTGCAACAGCTTCAACCATTCCTCTGTGCTCCTGGTGTCGTTACAATACTTGTCGGTGGCTAAATTTTTTAAGCAGTGCAGAGATGATTGAACTGCCGCGTTGTTAGCCAGAATATTGACGTCGTTTATATTCTTAGTGGCCATCTCCTTTATCACTCCAGTAGTCAAGTACAAGATTGTTGGCAAGATTGACACAGCTCCCTTTGGCGAACAGAGCTTATGCAAATTCTCCATACTAGTTAAAGCAGCCGCGATCAGCCTACTCGAATCATCTTGATGGATTGCACGCATGGAAGTCACTATTGTCGATGTAGGACTTGGACTCAGATTAGGCAATTGCCGCACTATCAGACATAAGCACACTTCAAGAACAGCAAAAACTAGCGATTTCCCTGGTAATATTTCTCCAATCTCTCCGCCTTCTCCGAGTAGAACGTCGGCAGTTTCGTCTACCCTCTTCGCCTGCTCCAGGTGATCTTGTGCGGCTCTGATCACCTGTTTCAACACCTCCATGCACAATAATTGAGCGTTATGATTATCTCTGGTCAACAAAAGCCTGTGCAAAACATTGCATAATTCTATACTCAATGATCGATCCACCATGATTGCCTCGCGCGCCCATAATGAGTCCATTAGGGTGTACAGAGCTTGAAGGCATGTTAAAATACTCTCCAAAGGCTCCGTCGACCTCGGGCTGCATAGCGCTTCCATACATATTCCGAACAGCAGGTGGAATTTATCGTTGTTGCCGGCGTTGTTGTTAGCACTGTCGTTGTTCTGCTGAATCTTCTCGAAACCACCGGCGTTCAACCAAAGAGCAGCGGCATGTAAAATCGGTGGCCATGAAGCGGCGTAATGAGGTCGCGATGAATCCATCGTGTCATTCGTGTAGAATGCGCCTCCATCATGTGGTAATTGACTTGCAAATTCGGAAGGCAAAGATAGTAGAGCGTGATCTTTCAATGCCGCCAACCAGTGGTTGGATAGGCTCAGTAACTCGGGCTGTACCAGCGTTAACAGACTTTCGCCGCGGTATTCGAAATCCCCGAACTCGTCATCTCCGACAGATGTATTCGTTGTGTTAACCTCGATGGACGCCGAACTGGATCCGGTTTCCTTCATAGCGACGATATAAACCTCCGCCCAAGCCTTCAAAATGGCTAACTTTTCGAGCGTAGCTAAGCTTTCGTTGTACAGTAGGGTGGTGTTTGTCTTGATATCCAACTTTCCGAGTGAAGAGACCAGCAATTGGTGAACTCTCCTAAGATCGTTCAAATTCCTGGCGACGCTCGAACCAATCCAAGTAGAACAAACATCGCATGCGGCTGCCGTTACATGAGACGAGGTGTCCGGAGAGAATGCAGGCCTCAGCGCAGCTCCCACCTATAACATCAAAAAAGTATCTTGTATTACGCAACAATTTTTTTAATGAATCCATCAAACTGTGTAACTATTTTTTATTGTAGATATTCCATTATTGTTACTGGTTTGCCTTACAGAATATACGAACAATTCAAATTTTACCTGAGCTTGAAACTGTTCCAGCAACAGGTGTCCTGGAAACTCCGGCTCTGGCACTTTAGCGAACTTCTCGATCACTTCCTGCAAGGTAATTAAACCCTCTAATCTTAGCGGATCCGAATCGCTTGTGGCTGCCATGAAAGCCATTCGAATAAGATCGGAAAGATGCAGAACCAAGAAATCACTCTTGCCTCTGGACGACTGCATTTCCTTGGCTTGCACCAGATCGAAGTGCGCCGATGCAGTGGATTCACAAGCGGATATAATCTTGCGAACGCATTCGGCCGCGAAGACTCGTGTAGGCCATCGGGGCTGCACCGCTGGATGCGTGCTTGAATCGGTATCGGCGTGGAATTCCGCTTGATCATCATCAGCTTCGTTATCATCATTATCGCCGCCTTCATTTGAATTTGCATTCATTGGATCATCACTGTTGCTTTCTATAAAAATCGATTGTTTTAAATAAAAATACTACACTGATTGAGCGAGTTCATTACCAGTGGCCACAGTCAATATGTCCTTGCATAGACCCAACCATTGAGATAAATTATCTGCAGCTAGCATCTGCAGCATACTTGTCAAGGTGTCGTGTATATCTTTTATCAACGCTATATCAGTTTCCGTATCCAACATACTAAACAGAACTCCTGGTAAACCGGAATCCGTTATGAGTAGTCCTTCCACCGTACTAGAATCTCTACTTTCGCTTGCTAAAGTCATGGCATGTTCGCAGACTTCTTTAGCCTCCCTCTGGGCTAATTGCCGGAGGCACGAAATAGCGGCTTTTCTCAAAAGTAAATGATTGCTCGACAATGTTCTCTATATATATAATAAGAATAAGTAAATGTTTAGTATCAAGCATCTGCAGTTAATTTGATGAACCACTTACACAAAGCGTTGGAACTAAAGATGATAAATTGACATGCCTTGGGGCAAACAGGTGGAGTTGTTGCAAACAACCTGTGGCTTCCGCTTGTACCAAAGGGTCCTTGTGGTCCTGCATTATAGCGCAAGCGCACAAGAAGGAGGATCTAGCAGTGCAAATGCTCGTCGTGTTCCCTTGAAGCTCAGGTCCAATGGTTGTAATCAGCGCTGACAAAACCTTTCCAATGCATTGGTGCACATCGATGTAAGATTGTGGAACGTTCAGAAGCAACTTTAAAGCCAGCGAGAGGGTTGGCTCCACGTAGCTTCTGAACATTGGACCGCCGGAATCCGCGATGAGAGCTAAAGCGTGCAAAGACCAAACTTGGACCACGGGCGAAGTCTGATCCTGAGCCAAAGCTAATAGGATAGAAACGCTAGTATTAAGATGTTGACTAGAGCCCATTCCGCCAACATATCTATGCAGGCATCCTAATGCTAGCGAATGGCCCGTTCTGCTGGCTACGTCACGAGCAGATTTCAAACGGTCAAAACTGGTCTGCGCCAACTCAGCTGTAAACCTGGAATCCGACACCACCTGGGCCATACGACCAACAGCTTCTCCAGTGGCACACCTCAGTATTGGATTGGACGATGTCAACGCGCTGATTATTAAATTGGACGCTGATTTTTTCACGTCCTCCTGACCGAAACTCATCTTGGCTTCTGTTAGTCCTTTCAAACCGCTGAGCAATGACGTAAACACGTTCATCTGTACGGCTTCTTGCCTCGAACTCTTCGCGTGCTTGATGCATTCCGTGAAATGCTCCAGCATCTGCAGTCGATGCTTATTGGCGACTCTTGGGAATATCTGTCCGAACAATAACACCGACAAATCGATCACAGCAACTCCCAGCGGCAAGGGTCCAGGAATAATTTCGCCCTGCAACGATATATACACACATGTAATTTATTATCTGTCAATACAATATTTAATATTTCCCATTAACTTACAGGATTTAATTGACGGTACAAGCAACAAGGATCGTGTTCCAAAGCCCCGGAACCGGCAGCGCTGTTTGGCTGCAACTATAAAAAAACGAGATCAATACAAAGTTAAATCTGATGTTTTCAAGATGCGCTGCATAAAACCCAAATCAAAATCAGAACAAACAAAAAAGTTAAAACAAGGCGAACACAACTGTTTCGTTACTCACATGTTCACCATCTGCCCTTCGATTAGGTTCCATCTATGAAAATGTTGATTAGAAGTCGTATGTTTATTTCTTAATTTTACGGTTAATTAGTAATGTGAAATCGAATGCTTACTTGATCTTCTATTGTTCTGTGATCGGTTTCCTGCAGCCAAGTACCCAAAATCACGGAGTCGTCAGCATGGCAAACAGTCCTCAATTGTGAAGTGGTCGTGTTCGCTGGATTCTCGGTCAAAGTAAACTCGGCCACTAACATACGTAATAAATGAGTGTACGATCCCTCGAATGATTGAGGTGGCAGCAGCAAGAGTGTCTCATATAATCGTAATCGAACCATTGCAGCTGGAGCTTTCAGCTGCTGGCCATAGCTCTTCAGGATATTGGAAATGCTAAAATATAATTAGCTATAATACTGATCTTTACAGTTGGTGATGTAACTTACTTTGTTAGCATGGCAAGAGCTGATTCAATCGGAATCAATAATCTCCTGACAATATCATCCGTAACCAATTCAGGGCAATTTTGTATGAAGCTGTGCATAGCTGAAAGTGCACCGGCACGACCTTCGAGTGTTACTTGCCAGGTGAAAGCATCGCCTCTGGCCTTCTCGGAATCCAATTCCTTTGTAGATCTCGGAAAAGAGTTCCTCCAGAGCAATAGCATCCGTGGCAATAATCCCCGCACAACCGGTACACCCAAAGTCATGATTGCTCCAATCAGAACCCATCCTGCTTGAGTACGATTCAAAGATAATCGACTATTCTGGCTGGCGCTCCTCAATAATTCCTCGGCGGTGTTGAAGATCACCTTTCCTTTTGTGTGTGGAACACCCAAAGGCGATAGGTGCACTCCACCCAAGACGGCTGCCAAAGCCGCACTGTATCCTAAAATGAAAAAGGATGTGAACATCTTGATTCTCCAATTGACCATTCATAAACGTACCGGCTATGGCCTCAGGTGAAGTACGTCTGTCCTCAATACCAGACACACATCTATCAATCAATGGCGTCGTTTGGCTTGGAACAGCTACGCAAATACATCTTAAACACCAAGCAGCAGCCAAACGTGCCGCTTGACAAGGGTGTATTAACACGGCGACAGTAGCATCGATTAAATCTGAAAATTAACATTTTAAAATCCTCTTCTCTTATAATCTTTTTAACCTTACGTAATTGCTGATCCGTAAGTAAATCGTATGATGTCGTTCCAAGACTCAGGATAAGGCTACCTATTTCCTGCAAAGCGCATACCAGCAGATGCTGGCTGAAGAGCGTCTCTTGGTTCAGATCCTTTGCGTTCTCTGGATTGAAGTCGATCGAGTTCATCTCCTTGATGATGATCTGGGCGATTTCCTTGCACGCTAATGCTTGTGCCTTTTCTCCAAGCATTTTCCCGAGAATGCTGCGAAGGATAAAATTGATGCACTTCCTGGAGTAGACGGCATCTACGTGCGAAGAAGCGGCCTTCGAGTTGGCTACCAAGTACAGTATATGCGAGAGCAAAGTTTTGATGTTGCGTTCCAGCCATACTGAGCCCAGTATCTGCACGAATATGACGTAGGACTAAAAGAAAATACGCAATTAATGTATGACCTTTGTAGGGTTCAATTGATCGATTATTACGTGCGTTACTCCGACCCTGATCTCTCTATTGACGCCCGAGCTGCCCTTTATGATTTCACCGGTGCCCTTAAGAAAACCAACGCCGCCCCTCAGGAAGCCTGACATTAGAATACCCAATGCTTCCTCCAGCGAAACGGGCTTCACGTTTTTGGGTATTTGACCCGTCGGCAATTTTGGAGTTTGCTGTGTCATTGAGACCAAAGCCCCCAGAAGCTTGGCCACGGCGCACCGGACTTCATAGTTGGATCCATCAAAAGCGCGGAAGCAGAGCGTGGCTAGACTCTCCAGTTCGGTAGTGTACAAGAACGGTGCGTGGTTAAGCATTTCCAGGAGACAACGAGTCGTGGCACAACGGACGGCCATGACACGATCCACCAGGTAATGCTTGGATACCTTGTAAATGTCCTTGTGGACATTCGATATGGCGCTGCCCATACCCGCGCACACCTTCTCCAATGTCAACATGATCTCTATACGAGTTTGAGATTCGGCGCTCCTCAGTGACCTTATCAAGATCTGCACCGTCTCCTCGTATGAGCGACCCATCATCCTGCCAAGCTTCTCATACATAGTTCCCACGCAGCAGATAGCTCCGAGTCGAGTCGGGAGAAAGCTGGGTGAATCGTCTTTGTTCTTCAGGATATCATTGCATTTATTCACGGTATCGAATAGCAGGAAGGTGTCCCCAACTGAGAACAAAGTAGCCAAACATCTGGCAATCAGACGACGAGCGGGAGGTCCTGGAGACTCCTGGATGTGATTCATCAACTGCTCCACCAACTTCTTCTGGCATCCTTTGATATCATTCTGAAAATAGTCATAATTTTTTTTTTTATTATTTTAACGCCATCGATTTAATTGCAGTTACCTTTTGAGCCGCAACGAGTACTTTGTCCAGGAACCTCAGCCATTCGAATATGAATATCGGTTTCTTGGCAACCGGTATTTGCGCCAAAGCCTCCTCGTTCAAAGTCAAACTATGTGACATTTCCATTTCGATCAAAGTTTCACTCCTGCAATGAAATAAAATATGTAATAAAATTGAATTCTCATAACCTGATGACATTTATTAGGTAAATATCAAGAGCAACAGGTCCTATGGAATGCCGTCACCTCCGTCTATCCATCTCCATTAAGCGGAAACGCTGGTATTCTTGTTGGGCAGAGAGCAACATAGGTCTGCTTACATATGTGATAAGGGTGTAAACAAAGTTGAATTGCAACTGATGCGAATTCCCGGCGTGGACCGGAGCGGAGCGGACGTAGTGCGCGCATGCCTCCTTGTACATGGATAGCAAACGGCAATTGCATCTTTGACGGAAAAATGTTAACAATTGATTTTTGTCGAAACCGGAAATAAAACAACAAAAATGAAACGAAGATGAAAACAAATCAACAGAAATAAAACGATGCTCAAAAACCACGTCCCGCGTATAACGTTCCGCCGCGCGGTACTCTGAATCTTTTAAGACGTAATCTATAGAAGTGAATCCTTTATTTGTTCTCTGTATTTTGTTTTTACTCCCACTGCAATGATGGAGATGTGAATGATTGATGAGACTCCCTTTTCTGCTTTTGCTAAATCAATTAAGTTCAATTGAAAACGACATGTAAATTGGGTTTGGACGCAGACATTTCACAACAGCTGAAAGAACTTTCGCATCTCGCAGAAATTTCGTTTCATTTTCAGCTGGAACGTGCCAAAACGAAAACCAACTTTAATTGTATCATTTACATTACAAATTTAGACCATAATCGTGTTTCATCAACAATACTTCATTTCGAGTTAGACACTTCCATCAGCGTTTCGTCAATTAAGGTAATCGGAGAATCCCAGAATTTTATCGCTATCCCAAAATACACAGCTTTAATTGATATCCCAAAGCAGCATACAAAGTGAAACTGGACACGAGCAATCGATGATGATTTAATTTATCATAGATGTTGTAAAAATACTACCTATCTAATATATTTATCTAAGTAGTTAAGAAATAGGCATAAAGTTAATAGAATAAAAAAATAATACAAACATTTGCAGTGTTTGTACTTACATAAGCTGTGGTTAGATTAGTTTTATAGTCTAAATATAGATATTAAATGATTATGTCAAATGTTAATTTAAGCATAGTTAAACTCATTTCGATTCAAGAACCAAATGTTACAGCACTGCAATTACCTTCAAATGATTGTGCTTTGTAAGAAGTAAATATTAAATTCATTGTACCCATTTATAAAATATGGTTTTCATGACTTAACAAAATTAATTAATTCACTTCAAATTAAAAAACAAACATGTTCTTTTTTTACTAAAACACAAACAATAACAATTGTACAATGCCAAAATGTATGATAATGAAATAATAAAGATTAATTGAAAATAATTTGCAGCTTGATATCTTAAAATTGCAATTTCTAAAAGGAAATAAATTAGGAATTTTCTCATAGAAAGTTTGTTATTTACTAATTAAGTAAACAGCTTTCTTATTTACAGTACGAAAACACTTATAAGACTGAATAAACAATAAATATATATATTTTACCTTCTGGAAAAACAATCAAGTGACCCAAATGCAATAATTATATATTACAAGAATAATCGACAACAAAAATTCCAATCAGTTTATTATTATTTATGAAACCGGAGAGAATTGATTCTGAGAATTGTGTAAATAGGGGAAGCATCTCTTTAAATAATTTTATTGACTCTATGACTCAACTTAAATTGTTTATACACATTACATGATCCAAGGTTGTGATGTGAACTTAATTGAGACAATGTTATCTGTATTGCAGTCATGGGATGCTACAAATTAAGGTAAACTATAGATCTGAATTGTTTTGTCTTTTGAAGGGGTTGTAGCATCCCCATTGCAATACACTTTATCAATTGGAATTTTGATTTTGCTCACCTGTTTATCCTGTAGTATAGAACCAACTCGATTACTTGCACTTTGAAGGGTGTTTCACAGCATTTCTAAGCCCAGATTGTTTAAAATATTTACAAAAACTGAGAAGCACTACACAACAGCCATATTATTGCAGCTGTCACTGGTTGTCACTGCAATGAGCATTTAGAACTACCACTTTTCAATACATTGACCGTTGCCTACACACCAAACTTATTTGAACTAAGATTCATTTAATGCATAATATATCAATAAAATACTTGTATAACGTAAACTTCTAGTTAAATTTTTAAATATTTAATACTATAACTTTTTATATAAGTTACAAATAAAATGTGAATGTATAGGCAACTAAACTTACATTAAGTTAAGTAAATTAATGAGTAAATCCAATAAGTCTTTACTTCTGCCATACTATGAGTAGTAAACTATGACTTCTTAAAAATTCAGGCAGATAAATCTGATAGTCATAATTATAACGCAGATAACTCAAAAATTAATTAGCAACTAACTGAAGTAGTAACATTATATACGTTAAAGCATTTTTTTCCTTCTTCTTCCTCATTTGGCTTCCGCACTGCGCGCCAACAATCCAGCTCCTGTCTTCGAGAGATACTGCAAAACAAGGATTACGAAAGAAGGAAGTGGATTTATTACAGCGCCAAAATGCCTGAACTACAACCTTTGATATATTGCTAATAGACAGCGCTAGTTACCGCAATAACAGAATATTGATTTTTCGCCTAAAGTACAGGCAACCAAACATACATATGATTTTGCTGAACAAGAACAACAAGTTACAAAATGACCTGTATTTTTGTATACACCAGTTCCCATAAGAATTTTGGATATGGATGTTGATCTTGAATAAACAGAGATTAAAATGAGCGTAATTATAGGGTTTTAGCTGCAATGGTATCTTCATAATTAATTAACAAACATTGGTATTTTACAAATAATAATTGGCAAATTAACGTCTTCGAAAATGACCTGTATTTTCGTATACAACAATTCCCAGAAGAATTTTGGATATGGATGTTGATCTTGAATATACAGAGATTAAAATAAGCTTAAATATAAGTTTGTAGTTGCAATGACTTCTTCAGAATTTTGTTAAAAACTTTGATATTTGAGAAATGACAGATGGGAAAGTGCGTCTTTGAAAATGTCCTGTATTTTCGTATATACCAGCTCCTAGAAGATTTTTTGTCATTGATGTTGATCTTGAATATACAAAGATTAAAATGAGCGTAATTATAGGGTTTTAGCTGCAATGGTATCTTCATAATTAATTAACAAACATTGGTATTTCACAAATAATAATTGGAAAATTAACGTCTTCGAAAATGAGCTGTATTTTCGTATACACCAATTCCCAGAAGAATTTTGGATATGGATGTTTATCTTGAATATACAGAGATTAAAATAAGCTTAAATATAGTTTGTAGTTGCAATGACTTCTTCAGAATTTTGTTAAAAACTTTGATATTTGAAAAATGATATATGGGAAAATGCGTATACGAAAATGTCCTGTATTTTCGTATACACCAACTCTTAGAAGAATTTTTGTAATTGATGTTAATCTTGAATATACAAAGATTGAAATGAGCGTAACTATAGGGTTATTTATGCAATGGTGTCTTCATAATTAATTAACAAACTTGGTATTTCACAAATAAGTTGGAAAAAGTAAGGTCTTCGTAAAGGCTTGTATTTTGTATAAACAACTTCCCATGAAGAATTTTGGAATGGATGTTTATCTTTGAATATACAGAGATTAAAATAAGCTTAAATATAGGTTTGTAGTTGCAATGACTTTCTTCAGAATTTTGTTAAAAACTTTGATATTTGAGAAATGACAGATGGGAA